ATTTCCTTTGTCGAGGTGTCACTCCGTCTTCTAGTTGGCCTGGCATTTTCTTCCCATTTCAGTGTCTCATTTCCAAACCTAGTGTTGGACACCCCATCTTGCTTTTTGCAATTTCTGTTACCACAGAAGGTTCACACCTTTGCTTCGGAGAGTTCCTAGGAGTGCCTAAAATTGTAGCCTGATCATAAGTGCTATGACACACCTCTGGAGCAGGTGAGACCCGAACCTAGGCCTCCTGGCTCAAAGGTAGGGGCACTACCACATGAGCCCCTCGGGGCCTGAAAATGTCAGCTTTGTCATCTTGAGAAATTTTCACGCCAAAATCCAGCCCCTGATTTCTCAAAGGAACTTCCTTTCAAAAAGAAAGAGAATTGTCCAGTTTTTCAGTTTCACTTACAAATTGTGAAAGTTTCCGTTTCTTTTGCTCACAGATTTTAAACATATATGTAAAAATGCTGGTTGCTCCATTCTGATTGGCTGGTTGTGCAGCCTTGGGCCACTTGGTAGATGAACACTCTCATTGACTTCTGGCCTTGGTGTTTACATCCAGCCTGGACTGATTATATAAAATCACATTTGGCCCAACTGTCCCATGCCAGGATTTATGCTCCTTTTGAGTTTTATTTATTCCTTTGTATGTCTATCTTTTAAAAACATCTGCGCTAAACACCTCAATATTTTGTATGTTCCCTTTCTTGCCGTACTGTGGTTAAGGAGTTTTTACTGAATTCCTGGTTGGATTTATTGGTCCTACGTTCATTGCTCTGAGTTACAGTCACATTTCTTCTATTGAGTTTGGGCCCTCAATGGACTTGTCAAGGAGAAGACTGAGTGAAGACAGGCTCACACTTCAAAGAAACACTGTTTATTATACATTAGTGATAAACACTGCTATACATAGTAAGTATAGATTTACCAGGCTCTGACTTATAGAATGTTGAACTGTACAGCACAGAAACAGACCCTTTGACCCAGAATGTTGTGCCAAGCATGACCCCAAATTAAACAAATCCCTTCCGCTTGCTGTTCGTCCATATCCCTCCATCCCTTCATTCCTTGCATATTCATGTGCTTAGCTAAAAGTCTTTTAAGTGCCCCTATCATACCTGCCTCCACCACCACTCCTGGCAGTGCATTCCAGCCTCCTACCATTCTGTGTTTAAAAAAACTTGTCCCTCACATTTCCTTTGAACTTTTCCCCCTCACCTTAAATGCCTGGTATTAGATATTGGAACTCTGGGGAAAAAAATTCTGACTGTCGACCTTATCTATACATCTCCTAATTTTATAGACTTCTATCAAGTCTCCCCTCAGCCTCAGCAGCTCGAGAGAAAACAACCTTTGTTTTTCTAGTCTCTCCTTATAGCTCATACCCTCTAATCCAAGCAACATCCTGGTAAACCTCTCTGCACCCTCTCCAAAGCCTCCACATCCTTCCTGTAACGTGGCAACCAGAATTGAATGCAATACTCTAAATGTGGCCTAACCAAAGTCTTATAAAGCTGCAACATGACATCCTGACTCTTGTACTCAATTCCCCGACCAATAGAGATAAGTATGCCACATACCTTATTTACCACTTTCTGCAGGGAATTCTACAAGGTAGAAACTGAAGGGTTGTTTCCCATAATGGGAATGTCTAGCACTAGAGTGCATCATCTTAGAATAAGGAGAAATTCCTTCTCAACAAGTTGTGATTCTCTGAATTCTTTACCACAGAGGGCTGTAGAGGTTATGTCGTTAAGTGTATTCCAAGCTGAGCTACACAGAATCTTAATCAGTAAGGGAATTGAGAGTTATAGGGAAAAGGCAGGAAAGTGGAGTTGAGGATTATTAGATCAGCCGTGATCTCATTGAATGGCAGAGCAGATTTGATGGGCTGAATGGTCTACTTTTGCTCATACATCTTATAGTACAATTGGGTAAGGACTAATATATTGTGATCCTGTGTTTCATGTCCAGGTTCTAGTCTGGTCTAGGATTCTATTGCTCATTCTGCCTATTTATATGTAGCTCAGTGACATCTTCAAGATTGCTCTAGTATCCTAATGCCCTTGCGCTACATCCCTCACTTGGAAACATCTTCTCTATGCTACCCCATCAAATCCTTTCTAATTACCTCAATTGTGTCACTCCTCCTGCCTTCCCTTTTCTGTGGAATGAAATTCTGTCCTTTCTGCTGCCTGTCCCCAATAGGCATAAAGCCAAAGGATTAAGGATAAGGAAAGGTTGAACAGGTTGGGCCTATGCACATTCAGATTTTGCAGAGTGAAGGGTGATTTTACTGAAACACATAAAATCTTGAGGGAGGGCTGGATTTTATGGATAATGGACAGATGTTTTCTCTTGTGGGAATCTAGAACCAGAGGACATGGGTTTAAGGATGAGAGATGTACATTTTAAGATGGAGATGAGAAGAATTTGTTTTCTGTCATAGAACTGTTGGTCTGCAGAGTTTTCTTTCCCAGAAAGCAATGGAAGTTGTGTCATTGAATTATTTGAGGAGAGGTTGGATAGATTGTTGATTGACAATGAAGTTGAGAGTTAGGGGGCACAGGCATGAAAGTGGAGTTGAGACCACAATCAGGTTAGCCATGTGAAAACAAAATGCTGCAGTTGCTGTAGATCTGAAATAAAAACGAAGTGCTGGAGGTACTCAACAAGCCTGGTGGCTTCTGTAGATAGAGAAGCAGTGTTAACGTTTTGAGTCCAAAGATTTCTTCGGAACAGAATAGCATAATCTCGGTGATTGGTGGAATAGGCTTGGAGAGCCAAATGGCCTACAATGTGAAAATCTTACTCCCCTAATATAAAGTTGTCAGTTACTCGGCCCAGTTAACACTGGGACAGAATTTAACTCTGAACAGGATTCCATTGAA